TATGTAACCATATTGTTTTCTGGAAAGTACTGAGGAATAGACATGTCCAAAGAACAGTAAGCAGATATCACAAATAAGACTCAGAAACACGCCTCAAAGACAAGGCAACATGGAGTTGCAAAGATGTCTCAACAGTTAAGAGCATGTGTTGGTCTTCCAGAGTTCAGTTCCCAGCACCACTTCAAGTGGCTCAGAATCGCCAGTAAACTCCAGGTTCTAGGGGATCTGATGCCCACTTCTGGCCTCAGACACTGCATTTAAGCATACAACATCCCCCCCAGGGACACACACAGGCATAATTTTTATTTCTTATAACTACATCATTTTTCCTTTCTTCACTCTAGACCATCTCATACACCCTTCCTTGCTGTCTTTCAAACATGTGGCCTCTGTTTTTCATTGTTGTTTTGCTCTCTCTGTATGTATTCCTAAATACAACCTGCCCAGTCTATATAATGTTACTCCTATGTGTTTCGGGGCTATCCATTTGGTACAGGATAACTAGTTGGCATGTACTTCCCTGGGAAAGATCATTTCTCAGGCTCTCACCATTCTGTTGCTTATAATTTTTTGTGTATGGTTGAAGCCTCTTTGGCTTTCTGCCATCCACGTTATTTCTTATTGCTCTCCTCAAGTTTAGGCAGTCATGTTGGTGAGACTTTATGGGTATAACGAGTGCACGTTGCTCAAACTCGTGAGTTTACATGAACTGTATCCCTAAAGGTAACAGATTTATGGTGCATTGTCAAAACCTGCATTGGGTGATCCATCATGTCACTGGTTGAGGGCTATAGGGCCTGATAATCTCCTTTGGCACGGAGGGCCTATTGGCTTTAGATTTTAAAGGACTGCATGGCAGCATATAGCCACTAGGTGGTGGTAGTGTGCCACAATCCAAGCATCTCCTACCTGAGGTAGATCCTGATGGCTTGTCTCTCAAGCCCACCATGGGTAGGGTGGACCTACTTCATGTGCTCTGACCTCACTTTTTGGTTCTAGTAAAATTGCTCTGTGATATAGTTAACTTTTTTCTTGCCATTCCTTGACTTGAACACTGGCTTTGTGAGACACATTTCCCCCCCAAGAGCTTAGCCACAGGCTCTCAACCTCAGAAATTCATGTCTCAAAGGAGCCTTCTCCAGGATGTGCTGCAAGCTGACAGAATCCTCCTCTCAGAAGGGTGCTGCTTCCACGTTAAGAAACAAGGAGCCTACTAGGCCTTCTACAGTTTCTTTCACACTTCTAATTCTTCTCTCTCGTGTGGATTCTAAAGCTTTACTTATTTTACCAGCATAACATTTAAACTGCTCAGAAACTGCACCCCCCCTCCCCTAAGGAGGGGAGTATTCCCTAAGGAATACTGATGTAATCATGAGGACTTGAGTTCAATCCCATGTGCAAAGCCAGGTGTGATTGCTTTCATGCACTTACCAACCCCGTGCTGTGGGGCGTGGAGGGTAGAGACAGACAGATGCCTGGGTCCCTGGCCAGCTAGCCTAACCTAATCATGAGTTCCAAAGCCAAAGTGGGAAAAAGAACAAAAATCTAAGGTGAACAGCACCTGAGGAGCAAAACCTCAGTTTTCTACTGGACTCTGTATGCATGGGCCAACCACACAGAAGAAGGGAAAGTTCTCAGTCTTTCTGAAAATGCAAAGTTCAGTTTGGCCGAGTCAGGGCAGTCGCTCCCTAGAAAGGGGCACTGGCCTATTTCTTCTTAAGCATCTCCTACCTGAGGTAGATCCTGATGGCTTGTCTCTCAAGCCCACCATGGGTAGGATGGAACTACTTCATGTGCTCTGACCTCACTTTTGGCTAGTAAAATTGCTCAGTGATGTAGTTAACTGTTGTCTTTGTCCATGAGATTGGCCTCTTCCTGGTTCTCAGCCCAGCCCTCTCAAAGCTGCTTGATAGGCTCCGCTGAAGAGTAAGTATGAGGTGAAGAGGGTGTGCCTGCCGGATTTTGCCTTCCCAAGCCCTTTCCAACTCCACATCTAGGCAGAGAGCTTGGAAGCCAGTCACGAGCTCCAGGGTCGGTCCACTCCTTCAACCCTAGATACATAGAATGCTGTATTAAATTTCCTTGAAATGTATGGCCGATTTACTCCGACGGCCCTGCCAGTGAGACTCTGTGCCCTCAGTTTTGTTGCCGTTCACTCTGGGAATGAACCAGTGATTGCAGTGTGGGTGAGGGAGGTAAGATGAACCAAAGGAGACATACTACAGAGAGAGAGAGGAGAGGATGGGATTCTGAGCCTCGTTCCTTGCGTGACTCCCGCCTCGGCTGCAGCCGTAGACCATGTGTTGTTGAGATGCCTGTGCAGCGGCCTGAGACAGCTGAAGAAGCAATCTAAAGGAGAAGGTTCATTTCGGAGTCAGTCAGTCCTGCTACTTCATCAGTGTCTTGGCTTTGGACACTCATTTAATGGTGGGCCTCTGTGAGAGCGGGAAGGGATGTCTGACACATGGACAAAGAAACTGTCAATTTCTTTGACAAATTATGGAAACAAAGGGGACAAGGGTATTCTGGAAAGTCTGGAAAACTCCTGCCCTGGCTTCCTGCCATGCTGGAGGTGGGATTTTGAGCAAGTCATCCCATCTTGAGGGGCTCCAGTCCCTTTACCCTTCACACAAATCAACAAAATAAAATAAAAGTTAAAATCCCTGTGAAAGAAACATAAAGGGTGTGGACAGTGGCTGAGTCTCACGAAAGCAATAAATACTCAGCTCAGATGGAGGCTGAAATGAACACCCAGGCAGGTGACCTCTTGGTGTGTCTTAAAATATGTTTTCTTGGCTTCCTTCTAGTAAATTCTAAGAAAGCTTTTTCTCCCTTTTTACCAGAAACCACACACACACACACACACACACACACACACACACACACACGGCTTTAAATATTTTGACAGGGGACTGTTTTTCAAAAGACACTGGACTTGATACAAAGCAGGTGAAAAAAGCTGAGCTCACAGGCAGCTAACTTACTTGACTTGCTTTACACAGACCCCAGTCATCACAGAGAGCTGCAGATGAGGCCAATGGTGGCAGACTCCCAGTGTCTTCCATACCTGTCTGTCCACTTGTAGAGAAATAATCAGAAAGCAAAGAGAAAATTTGACTCACTTACGGCCCCACTAGCCAAGACCAGCTTTTTAGTTTCTGTTACATCAAATATGGGATGCTCTCTCACTCTCAAACTGTTGTATACCAGGCTTAGTACTTTAGCCAATTTAATCACCTTTTATTCTAATGGTATTTCTGAAACACGATTTTCGGTGCTCGCCCAGCACCATGGTATTAGCGTGCACTGGAACTCAAGTCAGTCACCGTGGGCATCTAGTGCTCTAAAGAGCATCCTTCTGTTGAAACTTTGTACCATTTCTTTAGCATTCTTTTAATAAAGGATTTCTGGCTTACAGGACAAGCACATCTTGCTTCTGTCCTTACCAGTTCTGATACAGTAGCCAAATCTGCCTCCGGAAGAATCTGTTGGCTGAAGTATACCATCAATATTTTGACATTATCCAGTCCATTCTTTCTTCTCTCCCTGCCTCACTGATGCCTGTCATTAAAGAGAGCTCTGGAAATGACTACTCTCTGTCTTGTACCCTCTGTGGCTCTGCTTCACACAAACAACTCCTTACTTTTCTTTCACATATTTTTCTTTTGCCCAGATTAAAATACCACCGAAAGAAAAAATATAAATATACATATATCCCCAACACTGCCACTGCCATGTATTTTGGAAGTTATAAAATATGCTTCTAGCACATGTGTTGCATAAGAAATCTATGGTGGATTAGAATGTATTTTCAAGTAAGTGATAGTGGAAACACTGCACCTACGGTAAGCTTGTGGGTTTCTGCTTTAAAAAAAAAAAATCCCTAGAGAAAAGCTTGCACCTTGCAGTCCTAGTCCTGAAAATCAGGAAGTTAATAAACACAGAAGCAAAAACAGCATCCTTCAGGTTCATAGCTCCTTCATATTTCCAGCACAGCACTCAATACAGATAAGAAGCCGATTTTCATCATACCGGACTTGTCAAATCCTAAAGGCCATTATTCTAAACACTGCTGATTCCCAACCATTGAGGATTGAGAATCCCCAACGCAACTGATCTTTAAAATAGTCAGTCCAAGTGTCGTCTGACTATTGCACCAGGCTTAGGAAGTGAGAGATACCTAAACAACCTGAGGGGCAGAGCGAGAACTCCACACCACCACACACCTAGACTGAAAGCCAGCTGAGTGCGTCCACATTTTCCTTAACCCTGGGCAGCCTGGAGAGGGGTTTACTTTGCCAGAAGTGTTTTGGAGGCGGGGGAGATAGATGACTTGGTGGGATACAGCACTTGCTGCATCAGCATGAGAACCTATGTTTGCATCCCCAGAGCCCACGTAAAAAGCCAGACACTGACGTGGGCACCCGCCACTCCAGCACTGTGGAAAACAGGGGTGGGATTCTCACGGGGCTTGCAGCCTGAGAGTCTACTTCCAGGGACAAGGAGAGACCCTGTTTCAATGAAATAAGGCAGAGTGTGACACCAGGACAACTGATGGCCTCCTCTGTCCTCCGAGGCACACATAGGAACATACATGTGCACACACAAACACACTGCTGTATACCCCCACACACAAAAAAAGAAAGAGTATTTTGGAGATACAGGTTAAACAAATCTTTTGGTGTCATTCCAGTAAGCACGTTGCTCTGTTTGGTCAGCCTTTGTTTTGAACATGTGTCTTTTACACAGGCAATTGGGTGGAAGAAGTTAAAGGAAGTTTTGCATGTGTAAGGGATGGAGGATTAGGCTCTGGGGGTTAATTTTACTCTAGCAAAAAGAAGTGACTTTAATTTCATTAATGGTCTCCTAGCCGATTCTGCTCCGAGCTTAACCCTCCATTAAATATTAATGCCTCACGGTGCTTGATGCTTAGTACACAGGTTTTGGTTTCTCCACCGGAACTGACACTAACCTGTTCCATATTTATAACTGAATCGCAGGGCTTTTTCAGGAGAAGTCAGCAGAGCAATGCCACCTACTCCTGTCCTCGGCAGAAGAACTGCTTGATCGATCGAACCAGCAGAAACCGCTGCCAGCACTGTCGACTGCAGAAATGCCTTGCCGTGGGGATGTCTCGAGATGGTGAGCCTCCCACAGCTGGAGCGGGACAAATGCATGCGGCTGGGCAAACATTCTTGAAGCATGGGTGCTGGCTGCGTCATCAGGGGAAGCCCTCCTAGCCCCTTTTCGGGCCCCTGTGGCAGTTCTCTGCAGTCCACAGCACTTCCGGTATCCTAGGTCTACTGGAGTCAGCTGGCTAGCTGATGAGGGTAGGCAGAGAAGTGTCTTGTAGTCAGAAAACCTTCAGATTGTCAACAGTTCAGAAACTATAGTTCTGGGTCACCTGAGGAGTTTTGTAAACATGCCTCCTGCAGGAAACCCAAGCCAGGACAAATTGGTACTTGCCTTATGCTGGTAAGTCTACTGGCATTTGGCAGGAAATGGTTCTTCACACTAACTGGGTCATCCAAGTTGCCTGCCAGAGTCAGATGTTTGCACCTTCCGAACGTGCGAAAATAGTACAAAGCGAGGCTTGGTGATAGATGTCCTTTTTCATTAAGAGGAGGTGTAATGACTAGAGAAGGGCCCCTATCCAATCACAGAGCATCTCCAGGCACTCCCCAAAGCCACTCTCAAGTGCACTGAATACCTACAATGCCAGGATTCCAGACAGTTATGTGTGGAAACTGGCAGGAAATGCAGCTGACTGTCTCCAGAGACCTCCTTGGGTGGAGTGTCAGTCTGTCCTTCCCACCATCAGATGTTTTTAGGACCGGCAAAGCCACCCAGGTGGCTCAAGTTCATTCTCACGACATCTTCTGTGAGTGTCTCTGCACCACTGCAGAGGTCAAGCTTTTGCTGTTAGGAGACTGGTAGCTCAGAATCCATGTTGTATTCAAGTTGGTCCTCCAACAGCATTAAACCGACAGTTAGGTTCTCAGCCTGTAAGTTATAAATGCATTTCCTTGAGAGCTGATCTTTTTTTCCCCCATTCACTGTATACAACTGTCATTTTATTACAACAAAGGTTAAAACATAATTACATAGGCAGGGCAGAAGTTTGACCTATGGGGTGTTCTAAAATTTATTTGCCCCTTCCCAAATTAAGTATTTCCAGGATGACTTTTTACATATGTATGTCATAAAATAGTATATAAGTTGTTGTGAGAAAGCAATGTATTTCAAGGTTTATAAAATTATATGCCTGTTTGGCATCCAGCCAAGCTGTAGAAGCTCCAAAATGGCTGATATCCTCATTGTTCCCTCTGTATGAAGGACAGCACATCCTCCCCTGGCAAGAAGAGTCCACCAACTGGTCAGTGGAGTGGGCTCTTGGCTCCCAGCTTCATTTTCATCTCCCCTGTCTCTGCCCCTTATGTCACTCTGACAGTGGTGGAATAAATGAGTTCATCCCCCCAATCAGGAATCAATTTAACTACAATCAATTAGGAGAACTAAGTCCCTCCAGGAGAAGCTTCATCTACAGTGCCTAGACAGGGAGGGCGGGGGACACCCTCAGTGGGAGAATCCAAACCAGGAAAGCTGTTTTCTATTATCTGGATGGGTGTTTCAGGAGAAAACACCTAGACAGTGAAGTGGGGAGCTGCTGTAACCCCTGCCACCCTTAAACCTGAAGACCAATTCTGAGGAGAATCGCCGTAGGCACAGACCCTCCCCATAGGATCTTACAAGGCTTGCCATCTGTTGTTCTTTCTACCTGAGGCTAAATGGTTGTAGAGCAAATTATCACTTGATGGCTCCAGTTCAGACCCACCTGTGTGTGCCTTGGCTACTTGGGAGGCAGAGAGGATGATCGCTTGCACCTAGGAGTCAGGGCCAGCCTGGGCAACACAGTAAAATGACCCATCTCCAAAAACAAAATAAAGGCAAGGCCACAACGGCCAGCAGGTCTCATAGGTCAAGTAGCATCAGACTTTACAATTTGGGGAAACTCTAGACAGCCCTCACCATAGAGCACCAGCTGGTCAGCCAGGAAGAACTTCATTCCTATGAACAGAATAGAATATTTAGTATGAGTCTCTGCATCTCTGCCTATCGGTTCGAACACTCTAAATTAAGGGGCAGGCGGGCCCAGGTCAGGCCTTGTGGTAAAGAATGAATATTTAGCTAACACCCCAGAGCCAGATGGAGCATGCCTGTTACCCCAACACTCAGGAGGTTGAGGCAGGCTGACCAGCAGTTCAAGGCCAGTCTGGGCTACCTAGCGAGGTCTATCTATAAAAGATATCTCAAAAAGAAAAAACAAAACATATTATCAAGGAGCCTAAGGGTACAAGGCTGCAGGTAAACAGGGGAAGGGTTGCCTGGGCTGGCTTGCAAAAATGTGTGTCACCCGGGGCACGTGAAGAAGCCTGTTCTTGCCTGTGGGTGACCTGCTTTTGTGCTGACCTGCTCTGAGACTTTCTGGAAACCTGAAAGCTTGGGAGAGGCTAATGCTGCCTGGTTCAAGGTGCTCTTTGCTTTCCCTCTTCCCAGCTGTCAAGTTTGGCCGGATGTCCAAGAAGCAGAGAGACAGCTTGTACGCCGAGGTGCAGAAGCACCGGATGCAGCAGCAGCAGCGAGACCACCAGCAGCAGCCTGGGGAGGCTGAGCCGCTGACGCCCACCTACAACATCTCAGCCAATGGGCTGACGGAACTGCATGATGACCTCAGCACCTACATGGATGGGCACACCCCGGAGGGCAGCAAGGCCGACTCAGCCGTCAGCAGCTTCTACCTGGACATCCAGCCCTCCCCAGACCAGTCGGGATTGGACATCAATGGGATCAAACCCGAACCCATATGTGACTACACACCAGCATCCGGCTTCTTCCCCTACTGCTCCTTCACCAACGGAGAGACTTCCCCAACCGTGTCCATGGCAGAACTAGGTAAGGCGGGTGTGCGGGCCGCCTCTGGCTTGGGCTGGGCATACACCCCTCTGAGGTGAGAGGGGGACAAGGGACGGTCTCTCTCCTCCACCTTTCCGAGATTCAGAAGCCAGCCTCGCTGTCTGACGGCTCCCCGTGGCATTCTCAGTAAATGCACCGCTGCTCAGGAACTAGGCAGGTTGTTTGCAAGCAGCCCGTGTTCCACAGTGCGCCATAAGTGCCCGGCAAGGCTGCTCGAACCAGTTAATTCACTTAGGCTCCAGCTATTGCTCTACGCCTAAAGTCACACACAAACGCGAACTCCACTAACCAAACCTAACCAGACAGAGATATATATATATATTTGTAATTTTTAGGTTCTTGAATTGGTTGCTAACATTTTTAAATTGTTAGCTGACACAGGACAAGTACGCATAAGTCATGAAGGTCAGGGTGACATTTCAGTGCATATCCAGGACCTGTGCACATCTGGTGTTCAGAAATACTGGCCCAATGTGACTTAAAAAATTCAGTCTTGCCACGAAGAGCTGATAAGCTGCTTTTTTATTGTAAGCGTTCAGGTTTAGCAGGGTGACTTTGGTAGGGAAAGAATGGCCAACAGGCACGTGGTACGGTCCCGAATCCCAAGAGCAGCATACTGTCACGTGCGGCTGATCGTTACAGGTGTGATAATGACATTCTTCCCCCATCACAGTCAGCCTGCTAAACTTGAATGCTGATAATAAAAATCAGCTTATCCGCTCTTTGGGGGAGATATAATTTTTTTATTACATTGGGCCATTGTTTGTGAATACCAGCAACCACCTGGCACCCCGGGGAGATGACCCGACTGGTGGGCCCTCAGGTAGCCAAGCTTTGCTGTGCTGCTGTGAATTTTAAGTGCCCGAGGTGGCTTTTCTCTTAACTTGCCAAAATGTTTTGGAGATGACCACTGGTAACAAAGCTGGTAAGATTTCCTACAGGGCTGTCTTTTGCAAAAGAGAAGAAGAAGAAGAAGCGAACAAACACCAAGTCTGTTTTCCTCGTTGTTGGGACAAGGCTGTTTCAGGAGGGGATGATGGCCTAGAAACGCTGATGGCACAGACAACGGAAGCGGTCCCTTCATGTGCATTATGCTAACATCTTCTGCTATATTTAATCAATTATTTTTAATAAGGCACTATTATTAGAAAAACTTTGATAAGAGGCTTTCCAGTCCTGGAATGCTCAGCTGCTCCCAGCGATTCTGTCTATGGGGTTATTATGCTCTTTTGGGGTACTTCAATTAGCTGCCGCAGCCTGGGGAGCTGCGGTGAGACCTGGGGTGCTGAAGAGCCAGCAGGCTCTGCCTTGAGCACAGAAACCCTCCGTTCACAGCCGTAAAGGCCGTGTTCTCGAGACGGCACCTCCACCTCTATACCCCAGAAAACATCTTTTTTTTTTTCTTAAGTGAAAATGTATATTTCCAGTCCAAAAAAAAAAAAAAAATCTCCAAAGAGAACAAATTGAATGCTCTTTAGGTTTTTTTTTTTTTTCCTACACAAGTGCCTCTTTATGGATCTAAATTTAAATCCTCGGGAGCCGGGGCGTTCTGAGCCTGCTCTTTAACCACTGCACAGCACTAACGGTGTGTGCCGACACTCTTTTGATTAGCAGAGAAACCTCTGGACTAGGAGTCATGCTGAGCAGAGGTAGGTTTTGTTCTAGTTCAGGAGGGAAAAAAAAGTATCAGACCCTTTTTTTTTTTTTTTTTTTTTTTTTTTTTTTTACGGTCATGGAATCTTGGTTGGTTGAGCCCGAAGCAGAGCTGCAATGAGAATTAAATTGTCAAAAATGAATAAGGATATGATTGAAAGCTGACATGCTTCCCAGCAAAGCGACCTGACTCACCCCAAGCCTGCTCCCACTCCACTGTGGGGACAGTGAACCTGCCTGTTTGCCTGAGTCAAGGCAGTACAAAGCACATGGTATTTTGGTTAAAAGTGCACAAATACCTGAACGGGGCTAAAAATGGCTGGGCTGGTACCCTCAAGTCTCTGGACAGACCTATACTGGTCACCTCCCTGTGGGTCTGGGAGCCATGGGTTTATAGCATTTTCCAGGATGAATTGACTCAAATATAACCAAACTGAAAAGCAAATTAGAATTCTTCTGAAAAGGGATAGATCCCATTTGTATGTCAGGGTAGTTCGAGGGAGTTGAACGTGGCATGAAAACGGCCTAAGACTGGCTGAGCCTTCTTCAAAGCTACTTCGTAGTCTGTAGATTTTCAGCACAGCCTATGACCTGTGGTCCTTTCTAACAAAAACTCCTGACCTTCTTGTAGGCTAAACTTTGTCATCAGAATTTCAGCAAATGAAATTGCACAAGAGGAAAATAAGTCCTACATGAACGTATCCTGAGTCCAATCCCGTCTCATTTTACCCACAGAATTTTGAGCAGCACAGGCCTTCAGCCTTGGCTAGGAAATCTTGCCCTTGGCATTCAGTTAGTGCCTGAATCATGCATTCCAGATAAACAACCAAGGTTTGCTTTATAAAGAAGCACTGACTGTTACAGCAACTGTCAGCTAGTACCTTGTGCGAGAGATGGCTGACGGAGAAAGCTCAGTTAGACAAGAAGTCAGTGTATGTGGGCTGTGGTCCGTCCCTCCTAGCTTTGTAGTTGGTTGAACAACCCATTGAGCTTCACAGCCTGCAAGCTGCAGCTGTCCCTCTTGTGCATTCACAGATGTACAAAGGTTAGCACAAACTCTGAAACCAGATGATATTTGCACCAGAGCTCTGGACAATTGTAACACCTGGGAAAAGTTACGCAACCACATTGGCTCAGGTGCCTAGCCAAAGAAATGGGGACAGAACTGTCACCTTCCTAGGTAGGTAGGTAGTAAATAGATAGAGGCAGATAGGTAGCTTCAGAAGACATGTAAGTCCTTTGGGTCTGCCACATAGCAAGTGCTGTGTAAATGCTAATGATTATGTTATAAAATGTTACAATGTTTAATAATGTTATAATGGTGTTATTTGATGATATCAAAAGTTCTGCCCTACCCTGACAGTCTGAGAGAAAAATATTAGAAGTCAGGACTTCTCATCTGAAGGGTTTAAACATTGTAACACACACAACACAATTCAAGGGAAAATTTGAGATTTTGTTGCCCCATCCCCCCTTTTCAAAGTAAGCTCACAGCTTTGAATTGGGCTGTATCCATAGTATCTGTGCCCAAGGGCAACGGGTGGAACGCACCTGGTACCCTGACAGTACTGAGATGGCCACGATTGAGGAAGGAGATAGGCTCACTTGTATCACGAAGCAGGAAAAATAACTAACCTGCTAGCTCTGCCCACAGAGCTTGTCTCCTAACTCCTAGGTGTTAGGACTTCACCGCCTTCTCCCAGTCCAAGAGCCACACTAACCTCCTAAATTTTATGCAATCTGGTTATACTCTCTTTTGCCAAAAGGGAAATTCAGAAATAGTGAAGGGTCTTAAAAACATTAGCCTTGCCAGATCTACTAAGAACCGGAATCAGAAACACCGCCTGAACAGTTAGTCAGAACGTAGCTGCTGCCCCCTGCTGGCCGGGCGCACTGTGTGCACTGCGTTAGTCCTTTTCTCTTCCTATTGGCTGCTGTGAAAGCCACACTCCAGGTGTTTCTGAACCAGTTTGCGGTGCTGGGGATCAAACCTAAGTAAGGTCTTGAGCATGGCAAACAAGCACTCTGTCTCTGAGCTACATCCTCGGCCCTGAATAAAATTTGAGACAGGGCTTCACTCCGTACCCCTGAAACTCACTATGGCCGGCCTTGAACGCAGGGCAATCCTCCTGTCTCAGCCTTCTAAGCACTGAGATCATAGGCACGTTAGCACCATACCTGGCTTCCAGTAACATTTGTTAAGATCTGTCAAAACAAGGTGTTGACCGTAATAACCATAAAAGACATGAGGATGAGCAGAGTGAACCCTGTAGGACTTCCTGGGCCTCATTTTTTAATATGCAAATCTTGGTTTATAGTCTAGACACGGTCCTCCACAGTAAGAGAGAGCTCTTTATCTGAGCGTTAATTTTCATCCATTCTTTTTAACTTCATGAGCAGGCATCTCTGCTTCTTCTCAGCTCTGTCTCCTTGAAGTGCTTTCTTTTGTTTACGCTTGATTTTTTTTTAATACTATTTATCCAGGCTGATCTGTTACCTGTGTATCGCCAGACAGGGCTATTAGGGTTTATTATGTTTCTGTGTCTCCAAGGAGACTCTAGTTTCAGAGTGCATTTAGGTGAACTTTCTGTTTTCACATAAATATGTCTCCTTCTGTCTGATGGAAGCCATAGCATATTTGTAAACAAGCAGGCTGCATTGCTGCTGTCACTAGCCTTGCGTTCTCTGTCATCCTAGTGGCTTTCCTGCCATGAACTCAAGACCCTGGGAACGTGATCATTTTTCCATATGAGTTGATGTTTGTAAACGCCTGTCAATTCTTTCAAATTTGAGACAGGGTTTTTCTATGTAGACATGCTAGGCTAGAACTTTCTATGTAGATCAGGCTAGCCTCAAATATACTTCCATCCTCCCATCTCAAGAATTCAAGTTGCAGACTTGCCACATGTGTTCTTTCATCCAATCTCCCTTCTATATAGACCTGATGCCCCTCCCAACACAACTGACCCCTTCTGTGGGGTACATCTCTTGGGGTCCAACATGCTATTCCTCCTTTCCTAAGAAGCATTCTCCAGTCCTGTTCAGCCAGCCCTCATCTCTCCCTATCCTGAGAGTGACTACCTTTATTTTGTGATGATTTGCCTTATACTTTATTTTCTGATATCTTGAATTATCTTTTCTGCGTGTCCACACATGTCCACAGATGATCAATTCTAGGGACATCTTTGGCATATATTTAATATCACCAAAGCCCTGAAACACAGTATAACAACTATGCAGCATCATATACATACATGCATATATGTATGTATGGCGATACTCCCTGTTCTGTGATTCACTTAATTCTCACAACAGCCCTATGAACCAGTGCCATTTTCTTCATTTTACCAAGGAGGAAAGCCAAGTACAGAGAGCTTAAATAACTTGGCAACCTCATATATCTCAGAAATAGCAAGGCAGAGATACAGTTCCAGATAGTTTCAGTTCAGGGTATCTCTTTGCCAGACTGCTACATAATCTGTTCATGCCTCAGTGATGTTTGCTGGAAAATCAAAGGTAACCAGTTGTCTCATTTTCTGAGCTGAGAGATGTTTCGGTCAAGAAAGTACTTGCATCTTTCTGAGTTCGAGGCCAGCCTGGTCTACAAAGTGAGTCCAGGACAGCCAAGGCTACACAGAGAAACACTGTCATGAAAAACAATAGGAAGGAAGGAAGGAAGGAAGGAAGGAAGGAAGGAAGGAAGGAAGGAAGGAAGGAAGGAAGGAAGGAAGGAAGGGCTTGCCATTACAGCATGAAGACTTGAATTCAATCCCTAAGAACCCTCGTTTAATAAAAAGAGGGAAGGAGGAAGTTGGGCATGGTATAAGCACGGCACTGGGAGGAAGAGAGAGGCAGACCCGGGGGCTCACTGCCAGCCAGTCTAGCTGAATCAAAGAGCTCTAGGTTCAGTGAACAACCCAGCCATGAACAAAAGAAAAAAAGTGAGAAGAGCAATTGAGTTAGACTCCAAATGTACACACATGCAAAAATAAAAAGATGTGTACACAGACACACACACAAATAAAACAAGATTAAAAAATAAAAAAGTCGAACGGGTCAGCACATTGCTTTGCATGAGTTACTTTTTAAGGCAAATGACCCAAGTGGAAGAGGTACTGGTTCCTGAAAGTTCATGGTTGTGATCTCGTTTTTCTCCCCCAGAACATCTTGCACAGAACATATCCAAATCCCACCTGGAAACCTGTCAATACTTGCGGGAGGAGCTCCAGCAGATAACGTGGCAGACCTTCCTGCAGGAGGAGATTGAAAACTATCAGAACAAGGTAGAGTCAGAGGACTCTCTTCCCATTGAGGCAGCATGGGGGGGGGGGGCAGTGAAGGAAGGCATTCATTCAAAAGAACAAACAAGACAGAAGGCTGACTGTCCTGCCTCAGAGTTCAAATCGCTGGTTAGGACCTTACTTTTTGTTGTCTTCCTGAGATGCTAAGTTCAGCTGGGACAAATTGTGTTTTGTAAGTCCCTCTGTGTGCCAGTAGGGGACTAGATCAGGCAGCTTCCAAAAGCCTCTGTGAGCAAGGATTTGTTCTGATGCCACAGTAGAAGATTTTGAGGTCTAAGAATTGGTGAAAGTAATTTCAGCCCCAACCTGCATGCTTTGAGATTAATAAGGAGTTGGTTAGAGATTGTGGGCCAGGACAGGGCTTAGGTGATGGAAGAGATAGTTTGCAGGTTAAGAGTACTTGCTGCTCTTCCAGAGGATCTAGTTTGATTTCCAAGACCCAGATCAGGAAGCTTGCCTATAACTCAAGCTTCAGGGTACCTGAAACCTCTGTCTTAAACACATACACACAACTTAAAAATAAAATTTTTTAAATAGGAAAAAAGAAGAAGAAGAATGAGGTTTGAAGGGTCTGACTGTAATTGCTCAGAACTGAAGATGAGCCTGGCAGGTTGTGGCCCTACTTGCTTTTATCTCTATGATAATGGCCAATGGGCCACTAAAGTGGGAGGGTAAGCTGAAGGTGGGGTAATGGTAATTATCCATTTTGCCTTTGGAAAGAGAAGATGGTAGAAAGCCAGGCTGGGAAAGGACCATAGAGATGATGGAGGAGAATCCTTCCCTTCACTGTTCCATGGGAGTAAATTACCATCCCTTGGCTATGACCACACAGTGAGGCCATCAGGACCATGGCCTCATGTGACTCAGTTCCAGGGTTTGGTCCCATCGTACTGTTAGAAATAACCTTAAACTGCAGGTTTTAGTGGGAGAGCAGATCAGCAAAGCGAAAGCCCCAGGACACTGCAGTGAGTGGGAGGGTGAGAATAGCAGCATCTCAATTAGTCTGCCTTTCAGTACAAAGGAAGACCCCATCATCCGAGCCACAGACAAGAACCAGCAATGCAGTGAGAGCTAGCGAGCCTCATGAAATAGGGGTTTCGGCCTCGGCAACTCTTACACCTACTGGTTGGGAAGTCCCAGGGCTTTGATGTCATTTCTGAAGAGAAGACAACTTGTATAATATAGGAAACATGGATGTTATCAAGCATCTAGCTCAGTGGGTATAGACAAAAAAAAAAAAAAAAAAAAGTCACTATCCCTTTTCTTGCCTCCACCCCCAGTAGAGCATGGGGAAACTCCCTAAAATAAATTAACAGATTAAAAGAAGATCTTCCTCTTACTGTGGAGCCCATGGCTATAGCAGTGATGTATCTTGCTGTGACTTGTGTTTAGAATGTTGGCCCCATATGTTCATAATACCCCTCACCTCGCCACCGCCATCCCATTGCCTTCAAGCTGTAAGCTAGGAATCTCAGGAGGCAGAAAAGACACAGAAGCAGGCTTTTATAGCCTAAATAACAGAGACTACTTTTTTTTAATCCTATAATCTTTTTTTAACCCATTTCCAAAGAAAGCTTTTTACAAACTAGGAAGCAGGCGTGAAGCCGGCCATACTAGGGTTCCCAGCTAGTCTTATGTTAGTGCGTCTCCCTCTTTCACAGCAGAGGGAGGTAATGTGGCAGCTGTGTGCCATCAAGATCACAGAAGCTATCCAGTATGTGGTGGAGTTTGCCAAACGCATTGACGGATTTATGGAGCTGTGTCAAAATGATCAGATTGTGCTTCTAAAAGCAGGTATGTGCTCTGCGAGTGAATCTTGAAGTTGCTTCTAGCCTGTTTTCACCTGCTTGTTAAAGAAATGCTTACTAAGGAAGGTGTCGAAGCCGTTTTCTCCGGCGATAATAACTCAGTGTATGCTTAGCAGAAATTGAACCCATTTTATAAGAACATTTTAAAGGTATGTTCAGGGGGTCTGAGAAGATGGCTGTGTGATTAAGAGGACTTGCTGCTCTTTCAGAGGACTTGGGTTCCATTACAGCACACACAGGAAGGCTCAGTACCATCCATTGAGATCCAGTGCCCTCTTCTGACCTCCACAGACACCAGGCATGTATAGGATTACACACACATACATGCAGGCAAAACACTCATATGCACCAAGTTTTTGGTGAGGTGTGTGTGTGTGTACACGTATATTTTTGAAAAGGTATATCAGAAAACATTCCTTCCATTTTCCAATTCCTCTGGGAAGAAGGTTATGCTAGGGAATCTTTGCATTCCCAGAACTTACTATCTCCCTTCAGGCCCTAATGCTGAGCTACTGTGAAGATGTTCGTGAGCTCAAAGAGTCATTCCTATGCATAGATATTTCTCACTGCAATCTGAGTTGGTCTGCGTCTCTTCCGTCCCCTGGGACAGAGGGATGATGTGGCTGAGAACACACAAGCTACCCTGCACTCAGTGTTGTGCCACTGTATTAGCACCTCAGAAAGGAACTAAGAGCCATGGGATGATGCTAAACAATTCTCCCTCCATGCAGGCTCTCTGGAGGTGGTGTTTATTAGGATGTGCCGTGCCTTTGATTCTCAGAACAACACCGTGTACTTTGATGGGAAGTATGCCAGCCCCGATGTCTTCAAATCCTTAGGTAAGGAAATCTCACATTTTTGTCTCTGTAAATGGGGGCCATGCAGGGATGTGGCTGGATGGAGGCTTTTGTTGCATAAAATGAAACTGATTATTTGAAACCAAAATTAAAGGGTGATTCACCTGTTTTACTCTCTGTGGGTATTTGCCATGAAACAGGCAGCAGGCAAGCAAGTATCTTTGTCTATGTCATATGTAAGTTCAAGTTCATTTGTAGGTTGGTCATTGAGTTATCACATGACCTTTTAGTTTCCCCTTCCAGGTTCAAATAAATCAGATTTGCAGTGAATAAAGTGTTCAAACAATGGAGAGAATATGCAAATGAAGCAACGATGGAAAAGCCCACCATCCCTGGCCTTTCAAACAATAACCATTTATGAAAAGGAAATATAAACATGGAAAAAGTCCAGTTGAACTAAAGAAAACTATGCAGATGCATAATAAATAAGTCATTTGAGTTTCTACAATTTAAATATTCATAATGTTGCCATTAAGGAGAAATAAGTGGAACCCAAGATATATTAACTGGCTTATTTTAAATGTGAGTGACAGGAGGTTTATCTAGCCAAGTACAACACAGCCCACTGCTGTAACAGATATTAACCAGTTGCCAAACCTGATACAACAGACAAAAAAATGTAACCAGTCTTAGGTGGGTTGACTTATTATTTTAGGGGACTTTCAGGCTATGTTTTCAGTTTGGTGAATAGTTATGGTAATTAGACCGCCAGCATGGACCTGAGTGTCATAGCCAATAGGGCATTCATTGCACTTTAGCCAGTAGCCACTAGATCTTGTTCATTCAAAATGAGAGTTCTGAAGTCAGACAACCTAGCTTTGAACAACAAGTTTGTGACCTCAAGTACATTACTTGTCTTTGTTAAGCCTCCATTTCCTCAGCCCTAAAATGGGAATACTAACAATAATATGCCCCTCTGAGGGCTGTTTTAAAACTTGAGGAAACTCTAGACTGTTGTGCAAGTAGAGTCACAATAGACATTCTCTCTCATTATAGTAGATGTTGATGGAGGAGGGGCTTATATGCAGGTGATGCTGGTGAAGATGATGATAATGGTAATAATACTTTGTGATGATGTTGACAATGATAATGGTGGTACCAGATGCTACTGGTGATGGTGGCTAAGCCAATTTCTCTTTTAATACTTTAAACTAGTCAACTAAGAAACACTCTTATTCTCCCATCTCCTCCCCAACTTCCACATCTGTCGCCATCTTGTTCTGTATTCTTCCCTAGGGTAACCACTGACACCCTAAACTGACACCCTAAACCTTTTAATCATAGGTTGTGAAGACTTCATTAGCTTTGTGTTTGAATTTGGGAAGAGTTTGTGTTCTATGCACCTGACTGAAGATGAAATCGCATTATTTTCTGCATTTGTACTGATGTCAGCAGGTAAGAAAATCAAACAAAAATACAACAGTTTCTGACTCATCCAGGTAAAGACTATTTTTACAAGACACAGGACTTGTACATGTTAGACGATATTTGAAGAGGCCTCCATGAACAGCTGCCACCCTTATTAAATTTAAATTTTTTCAAAGAATAACCCCTCCTTCACAACACACACAACTCTTTTCTAAAGACCTTATGGGACTGAAGAGATGACTCAGTGGCTAAGAGTGCTTGCTGCGCAAACCTGAGGGCCTGCCCGAGTCCAGATCTCGGCACCTACAAGACCAAACACACAAACAAACACCACAGGGTGTAGCCACACACATGAATAAGAGTTTTAAGCCCAGCACTAGGAAGGTGACTGCAGGACTGATGGTATTTGCTAGCTGCCAGCCTACCTCCAAGTTCAGTGAGAGATCCTATCTCAAGGGAATACGGTAGAGAGCGAAAGAACAGGACATCTGATGTCCTCCTCTAGCCTCTACAAGCATGTACTCACTCATATATTCCTCTCTCAAACACAGAGAGACAGATAGACAGATACCTCATGTTATGCAGATAAAAGTTTTAAAAGTAATAGCTTAATAAAACCCTACCCACCAATAACTCCACATACCAAGACAAAAGATTATAAAGAACAGGGTTGCTCTTTTGATGCCAGTCTCTAAGACAAAGTGCCTTTGTAAACACTGCCATCCACAAGTCTGTCTGCATCCAACCTAGTTTTCCAAGCAGGTCTGCCTCTGGGGGAACAATCCTTTACTTAGAATTCTCACACAAAAGCACTCCTGAATTAAAAGCAACCCTGGAGTCACTTGAAATTCTGCATACAGTTTGAGTCCGCTGGACTAAAAAGCAATTTTGCATTTCCAGGAAGGCCAGCAAGACAAGACAGGTGGGATAGCGCCTGCAGAGGGAGAATTAACCGAAAGGCTTGGGGAAGGCGGGGCACTATGGGTTCATTTGCAAACTTTTAAGTTTGGCCCTAGAATTTAGCTAGCCTTTGGAGGAGAAGCACCCTCCCTGGCTCCCCGTCCTGTGGCAGTGGAAGGATTTAACTAGGCCCTGGCCTAGATGATAGAGATTGCCTTTGCATCCTCCAGATGCAAAATTTCAAAGAGCAAAACTAGCTTGTGAGTCTTCAAATACACACTGTACCATAGTAACCAATGTCTTGGTCAAGAGGAACCTGGATCTGATGCTATGTTAGAGGAATGTACCAAGACGAGTCTCATTTTTTTTTCATGTGTAGATCGCTCCTGGCTTCAGGAAAAGGTAAAAATAGAAAAACTGCAACAGAAAATTCAGCTAGCCCTTCAACATGTCCTACAGAAGAACCACCGAGAAGATGGAATTCTAACGAAGGTGAGATCCAGAGGGGCGGAGCTGGCCTCGCCAGAACTATATCCTGGCACAAATCTTGCTTATGGGTATCTTTATAAGTCACATGGCTAGCCCCAGGAAGTCTAATGTTGGCATGGGCTACTAAGTCAGAAAACTCTGTTGAGCCAAAACTCATTGCTCAGGTTAAACTCCAGTTATTATAATTGGTCACAAAGTTTCCTGTGATAATATAGCAATGTGTAAAAGCAGACTTTTATTACACATTAAATGTGTGTATGCAGATACTCACAGAAAACAGAAGAGGGTGTCAGAGTCTCTGGAATTGAAGCTACAGGCAATTGTGAGCTGGAAACCGAACTCTGTGCATGTTCTTGATTGCTGAGCCATTTTCCAGCCCCGCCCCAAAGACTTGGTTTTTTTCTTTAAAGAAATAATCCTCTCAGGAAACTCCTTCCTGTTCTTTACACTTAAGCATAAAGATGATCATGCTACACTGATGCAAAGCAGGGGGAATCTTTAAATTCAGAAGGAAAAAGTTAAAAAGGACTAAAAGAAGTTAACCAAGTATTCCAACATTGGTTCTCTTACATTCATTAGTTTTCAGCAAAACATTGTTTTTGTATTTTATCAGTTTCCTATTTCTGTGCTGTATTAGAAGCACAGGGCTTCACTTTTGCTGATTATCTTTTGCAGCTAAAACATGTGATAGCTCTTCAGTGTCACTTCTGATGCTAGAGAAAGCAGCCGTTTCCATCCTTTGCCCATTTGATATGTTTTGTTGTACAAGAAGGAGATTTGAAATATTTGTGGCTTAGATTTCCTACCTAGATTGCCTCTGGGTTTGTTTGTTTGTTTGTGATAGTTTAGAGAGGTCAGCGTAGAAAAATTAGGCTTGGTTTAGATTTTGTACCTGATCAATGAGCAAGAAGGAAATGGAAGGTCCCTTCTGCCAAGTCCAAGGCCACCCTGAGGGCCATTATTATAGAGAGGGCCTGATGCAGACAGGATCTGTTGAGGACATTTTCTAGGGACACGGGCTCTGATCTAAAACCACAAGGTGCCTTGCCTTTGTTTACAAGTGTCTTTTCAGGTCACTGCTGTTACCTTCAGCTGCTAGATGTTCATTTGCTGAGAGCCTGGGTGGCTTTACTATAGAGAAAGCTAGAAAACTGCCCATAGAATTTACTCATACAGTCATACAATTTACTCATACTCATACATATGGCTAAAGAGGCTCATAGCCAGATGATATGAGTTTAACCCCGAGGACCCCACATGGTGGCAGAAGAGAACTGACTGTTGCCCTCTGACCTACACATACACACATACCATATATATGTATACATATCATATATATACACACACATTTATATACACGCTCACACTGTATATAGGTATATACATACTATGTATATATGTGTATGTATACACACATACTCATACGCACACAAAAGTATAATTTTAAAAACTAAAACCAAAGAACTGACTGGTGCCTGTCCTGCACACAGCATACTCTAGGTACCCCTCTCTCTGCCGCTCGCCTGCTTCTCTATCAGCAGATCTCTCCTTTTCCACGGAGGTAGCCACTGGATCCCTAGCACTGGGGGTGAGGATGGCTCGTGAATAGCTCCCTGAGCTAAATTATTCATCTTCAGAATGTATTGGTGTATTCCAGACACCGTAACGTGGGACCTCCATTTCGCTCTCCCTGCCCCCACAACTGGAATCTCAAGCCGCATCAAGCAATGTTGTGGCGGTCACCCTGACTCCTTGAATTCTCGCCCTCACGACCGCCCTTCCCTGACACCCTTGTCCTTTCTCCTGCTTACAGCTAATATGCAAGGTGTCTACACTAAGAGCCTTATGTGGACGGCATACAGAAAAGCTAATGGCATTTAAAGCAATATACCCAGACATTGTACGACTGCATTTTCCTCCGTTGTACAAGGAATTGTTCACTTCAGAATTTGAGCCAGCAATGCAAATCGACGGGTAAATGAAGCACCCGGCACTTCTAGAACATCTGAAGTACAAACATGAAAATAAGAAAGAAAGAAAAAAAAAAAAAAAGGAAACAAAACAATGACAACGAAGACAAACTTAACCGAGACACTTTCTATGGCCCTGCACAGCCCTGGAGCGCCAACACACTGCACAGACATCTTGTGGTGATCGGGGTTCAGGCACAGAGGGGAAACAATCAGAACCAATAAAAGCTGAACTTGTTTTGCTCATGCATATGATTTCCACTATGCCTACAGATATGGACCCTTTTTCTGTCTCAACTTCTAGAGCGGTTGACCTCGGCATATAACAGGAGGAGGGTACTACAGTCGGAGGAGTCCCTTTTCTCATAGCTCACTGCCCACAGACTCTTACGGGTAACAACAGAGTCCAGCGGTAGTCGGTGACCCCAGTGTGCATAGCGGGAGTTGCGGCGTTACTTTGCACAGCTTGCTTTTCATGAAGGAAGATTTTGTTTTTTCTCACCGATTATTGCCGGTCAGCAGGATGGCGTGAAAAGGGGATCCATAGCGCTCGCAAACAATAGCATTATAATATATTACACAGGGTAAATGGGCATGAAGACTATATATAGCTAAAGAGATATTGTTTATATATTGTTTTAATTAATATAAAAATGTAGTGACTGGCGTAGCTTTTCCTGTTGAATTGATAAGGCACTTTCCGTTTTGCACCTTTTGTTTTCTTTAAATTAAATGCTAGCGTGTTCACTGTCGCCGTGTCGCATGTACACCAGAAACACAAGTTTAGCTGAGAAGGCTTGGAAGGTACGTCGGGAGGTGTTTATGCTGCTGTTTACAAGGAAACAATTACTTTTAAAAGACTGGCTGGTCATATCCAGAAATCAACATGTTGAATTTTTTTCCCCACCTGTAAATTTGGAATTGGTAACGGACTGTTCCCTAAATCACATTTTGTTTTGCATGCAATTAAGAATGGGTGTGTTTCTGCTTCATCAGAGTCGAAGGAGTGTCTGGTGCTGTGGGCTTAAACCATATGTGCATTTTTAAAGTTTTTAAAAGGGTGAAGGAGGAGAAGCTCATTTGACACAGTTCAGTAGTCACAGGGACACAGTATCAACTTGCCATTCTGATGCTTTCAAAAACAAATGAGTAGCCAGAATATTTACTGGATTCTAGTTCTTATTTAGAAGAAGGACCCAAAGACTCTATGTGGAGCAGACGCACTCCCGACATGAAGCATTCATTGAATGTCTGTGTTCTTGGCATCAGGAAGTCATTGCAGGGTAAACTGATCCTAGACTAACTGTCCCAGATTCTAGAATGCTGCTCTCCGTGTTAGGTAGACAGTGCATGAAGAGGGAGGGAGACGGTGTTGAACCCGGTTCCCGTGTTGAAAAGAAGCCTTCAGAGTGAAGGTGATGCCAGCTGCAGACATTTTCTCATGTATCTACCCTCACTAGAAAACTGTGGACTCTAATTTATTTTATTAAATATTTAGATGATAGTTTGGCTTTTGTTTTCAGGTAAGAAGTAGTGAGGTATTCTTGACTAATTTTGCATTTTTTAAAAAATAATCCCCAGTGGGAAGAGGAAGGAGCATTCTTATGTTCACAGGTGTGCGTATTTTAAAAGCAAGTGCCCTGGACTAGAGGCATGATGGTCCAATGGTTAAGAGCACTTATTGCTCTATCAGAGGACCAAAGCCTGGAACCCAGCAATCAGCTCAGGCAACTTACAAAAGCCTGTAACTCCAGCCCCAAGATTTCAGTGTCCCCTTCTGGCCTCTGTGGCGGTGCGTGCACACATACACCCACACACAGTGAGAAAGAGAGACAGACGTTTAAAGATCAACACATCCTTAAAAACAAGCGCCCTTTTTAGAATGTAGGAGGCATTTAGGAGATAACTTTGGTCACAAGATACTGGTCTGGCATCAAAGACTGTACCTGTAAGGAAAAGGGAACATCTTCCCTGGTACAAAGTGGGTGCTTCTATGAAGCCCAACACATGCAGCTCCCTCCTCTGCCACTAGGGCCCTTCTAGACTCTTCTGCCATCATTTCTGTCCCTGCTGATGTCTGTCTGATGGGTTATACCAGGGCCAGCTTCCCAGAGCACTTCACCAATTTTTAACTTCACTGACTTTCTGCCTTATTTACTGAGGGACTTGGAAAGTAGGAAGCAATTATTTGTACAGAAATATGTGGGGGAACCCTAAGTAACATCTGAGGTTTTTTGGTTTTTGTTTTTTGTTTTTTTTTTTTTCTTCAAAAACATAGTAAGGGTTTAACCATGAACAGGAGAGTGATATTACTTAAATTTCTTACAAGCATAGAAAATTTTATGTGTTTATATGGAGAGGTTAGCTGTCAGGATATAGTATTTATATTTGGGCAAGAAGGGGTAAATCAAAATTTTATTTAAGCATAGTTCCTTTAAAGATTAATAGTATTTATATTCTGAAGAGAGTACAGTTGTGTTATTTATTTGCCCATTTTTTTTCTTGTTGTTTCTCCTGTGTGAGGGAATGGTGTGAGGTTTGGGTTTGGTTTTTGTTTTTCCTCTCTTTTTTTTTAGTTCTTCAGATTCACTAAATTTGGGGATGGTTTTAGTAAAGTATATTAACTTCTTTTTAACCAAAGCTTTCTGCATATGACCAGCCTCAGGTGCTAGCGCACTAAAGAGCAACTAAACCTAATTCCAGTGTCCACATGTGACTAAGGAGAGTGGACTGAACTTCTCTAAGGGTGAGAGAGAATGTGATATTGAACTTCAGAGAAATTGATTTTCCCAGAAAGGATTCTGCATGTACCTAATGCAAAACAAACACAAGACACTCTAAATCTCAGTACTATGCCTTGGTGACATTGCTTTTTACAATACACCAGGAGAGAGTGGTTTGACTGCTTCCAGGTTTTCCTGAAAGAAAAGCAGGAAGTAGGCTTTCAGAGCAAAGTCCTCTGACAAGGTAGAGACGGAGCAGTAGAGGCAGGCCTGCTCTGAGAAACTGAGAGCACAGCTGACTATGATTTCTACCTAAGTTGAGAGTCATGGGGAGTCCAGAACAGGATGTAGAAACTTTGGCATTTTTCTTTTCTTCCTTATTGTGAGAGCCACTCGTGTGGTACCACAAGGTAGTCAAGGACAAAGAATCGTGAGGCTTAATAGCTCCCGTCATTAAACTTGCTTGAACTTAAAGGCTCAACAGCGTCCTGAGGACTGAACAGTATTTTTGTCAGCTCAGCTGCTAAAGCGAAATCAGGTAACTCTTTTCTACAGACAGTAAATGAGGCTTTTGTGCAAAATCTGGGCGTTGTTGCTATGATACTCAAATGATCCTGCAACATCATGAGAAACTGGCCTTGTAGAAACTGCATCCAAAGTGCAGTTGAAAGCACTGTTTGGACAGATCACAAATTGTGCTAAGGCTATGTTTTTGTTTTTTGGGTTTTTGTTTTTGTTTTTTTAGCATTCAGCATTCTAATTTGTGTTAAATCCATAGGTTGTTTTGTTTTTCCAAAGTCTTTAACGTCCTGACTCACCCTCCCTAACTTAAGAAAAACATGACCTGAGTAAGACACTGCTTCTAAGTTTGGTTGTTCTTTAGCCTGTGGATACCAGATTCCTGTGAGTGGATGGGGTGGGCCAAGGGTCAGGGGAGGAAGGTGTGTGTTTGCCCGTGCGCGTGTGGCTTCCGTGTGGCTGAAGTGTGTGTGGTAGACCGCTTCTAGGCTACTAAGTGTCAATGGAAAAGAAAATGTATTCAAAATACATAAATCAAAACTAGAAGATGGAAAAAAGATTTATTCTATACAAAGCCTTGTCTGGACCACTCTAGAGAGACTTCTATTTTTTTAACCCTTCTATAAATATTTGATGGCACTAGAAATATTCCTGCAATAAAATGTGATTTGTGTAAAGAAAAAAAAAAGATTTTGTAATGTGAAACAAAGAAAGAAAGTAATGTAATTTTCTAAAAAAAAAAACATACAAACAAACTTTGTATTATTTTCTTGATGGAATTTGCCTATCTGTCTTTGGAAAACTTTTTATTTCATTGAATGTGCCATAGTAGATGTACGTGTTTTTAGTTTTAGACTAAGGGATGGCTGTTTGTGTTCCGACATTCCAAAATGCAAAGCAACTTAGCAGAAGCCTTGATGAGGAGGTTTCGGTAGGATGCAAGCGTCTCTCCTTGTTGCTTTTTTGCACACGTCTTTAATTCCTACCTAGTGCAATATCTGTACATACAGCACTTGCGGGTGTACTTTGATCCCTCAGGGAAAAAAAACACATATTTGTATAGTTGTTGGGTTTGTTTTGGGTTTTTGTTTGTTTGTTGATTTGTTTTCCTTTTCGTTTTTTTGGCTAAGGAATGTCGATCGAATTACTTGTTGTTGAGAGGCAGCCAGATAATCAGCCTAAAGCCACTGTTTCAGACACGGATTGTTTGAGTCATGTCTTTCCAGTACTATTATTTTAAAATGATGATAATAATAATAATAAAAAGCTATTTTCTGACAGTTCTTTGTGCTGACTGGTGGAAAACGAAAGGGTAAAAAAAAAAAAAAGCACCTTATGGTTGACCTACTGTGAATGACAATCCATCTTGGTGTCAAGGACAGAGCCCTGTTATCTGGAGTTGGGGCTGGGAGTCAGAAACACTGTGCTCAGGGATCTTGTAAAACTCTTAAAACAGGGTGGCCAGTGGACTGGGACAAATTGTGTTTTTACTAGTAAAGAGAATGATGCTAATATCCCTCCAAGGCACAAGTGAACTGTAGAGGTGTGTGTATGTGTGTGTGTATGTCTGTCTGCCTGTCTATCTGTCTGTCTGTGTGAGCTCGTCACTGTCTCATTTTGTTGAGTTCAAAATTTCTGTGTGAAGTTCTGCCAGTGTGTATGGAAGATGAATTCAGAAGTGACAGACCAATCGAGGAGCAAAGTGTAGGCCATTTGCTGTTTTCCTAACAATTAAAATGCTCCAGTATAACATAATTTTAAACAATTTCAAATTCTATGTATTATGAATTACTTTTTTTTTTTTTTTAAGGCCAGCAGTAAGACCTGTTCAGTGAAATGGGCAACAACAGAGACTCTTTCAGAACTAGAAAACGGGCTCTTTCACCGTTTTCTCCTCCAGGGCAAACCAAATTCCTGCTATGCAAAACAATTCCTGTTGCACATCCCTAGCTTTTTTGACTTGTGCAGTTGTTTGTTTTCCCAGAAGAGCTGACATTTTTAAAGACAGATCAGTCCCTGCATGACAGACCACAGCTTCAAGGGCCTTACAGCTCTGGAAGGCAGTTCTGTGCTCATGTTCTCATCTACAACTTCCCACAAAGCCAGGGAAGCTCAGTGTCGCTCATGGTTGAGTCTCTTGGCCCATAATACATACTTGGCAGAATTACATAGCTTCTTACAATAGGAGAACTAGGTTTGGAAGATCTGTCTATCAGGTGACAATAACACCTCACACCTTGTTTTGAGTGTAGATGAAAGAAACCTCCTTCCTCCCCTTTTATCTCTCCATCCATCCATCCATCCATCCATCCATCCATCCACACGTATGCATATGTGACAGACGTTTTTTACATAATATCATAGGGCCACTGCCTAAGTTGTGAGGTACAGAACCCCACAAGGACAGCTTGTACTGTGGATCAGATATGTTCCCAGAAATGCAGTTGAACAGTCAGATACTGATTGACTGTTACTCCCTGTCACTCTGGTCTTCATTCCATTAAACACTAATGTGGGAAATGCTTCCACCAGCTTTGATGGCAGGGACCTTCCCATTGCTGTTTATTTTTAACTGATGGGAAGGCCAGCTATCAATGTCCTCAAAGGCGATTGACTGCACTCCTGACTGACTGTGCGCACACTCATCATGTGCCTTGTGCCTGTGCATGCTTGTATGTGATCAGTTTGTCAGACTCTCAGAATAATTTTTTTTAAACAAACAGGAGGGCTGGCTTCACACCGGGAAGCCACCATGACTGGGGCAGAGCATGTTCAACCAAGCCCTCAAAACTTAGAGCAATAAACACTGTTCAGTTGCTCATTTACTTGTAAATGGGTGACGGAATATTTGATCCAAATAGAAATAACCTTTTCCCAGGGTCTAGTGTGGAGAGTGGAGACGAATGTTTGGAAGAGATCCATGTTCTCTGTTTACATCTCTGTTTTGCCACATTAGCTGTCCTATGCTTTTTCTGTGATCCTTCTCGAAGCTAATGACAAGACAGCTGGCTGTTAGCTTTATGGGCTGTGCCTGTCATTACGTTGTTCCCCTAGAACAACAGGCTTCTCTCTGGCGTTCCTGTATGGTTCCTTTCTTGTTCCTTATGACTTGTGTGGAGGAGTAACTACTTCTATCAAGATGATAATCACTGAATATGTTGCATACGTAAATGCAGATATTCCTTGAGCAATATAGTGGGTATGACTTCACACGGGCGCGCGCGCGCGCGCGTACACACACACACAACCTGTATGTACTGCACACATCTTCCTGAGGCCCCAATTCTCTGCTCATCCTAATGGTTTGAAGTCTCATCTACAACAGTGGTGAATGTTTTAGACAGTAGGACATTAGCTGGCTGCTTCTTTAAGTGTACCTGTATTGTCTGCCCGCTCCTTTTGTGGAGACATGTTTTTGTATTGGATGTTTGGGCCAATGGGAGGCTTCAAGCTACAACATATTTTCCCAGTTTAAATATATTGAACTTATGACAAACCCCAGACAAGGCTTTTAATCTGTAAAGAACTGCAGTGTTGGGTGGTTTATTTACAAACCGTTTTCAATGTTGTCCATTTTTATGGCACCTTTAACAATATACTTGTTTCCAAAGTACAAAAAAAAAAAATAGGTTAAATAATCTAGCCATAACTGAATGTCAAGCAATAAATCAAATGACTTTTGTGCATAGACTTTAAAAACTACAAATTTTAGACATCTGCATGTAAATGCAATCTCTTGTTTACTGCTTTCTTCAACTCAAGCAATGGATTCCTTATTTACTATTAACTTAAGAACTTGTAACGGTCTGTACACATTTTCTCTCCTCTTCTTTCAAATTCACCTTCGCCCTGCTTTTGAGTCATAATATTTAATGCTGTTCTGCACACCTCTATACAGTTAACTTTCTGGCTTTTGTTCTGTATAGATAAGAAGATGTTATATTATAAACAGCCTACTCAGTGCAAATATTTATCTGTTTATCAAATCCACAATATGCTGTGTAATACTGGTTTTACTATATAATCTATTTTAGACATAGCTGTTTAGAACTAGAGTGTGCTATTTTTGTGTTTTTCTGATGTGTGGTGCTAGATAAGTTACTTTTGTGAACAACAACAAAAAAAAATCCCTTTTATTCCTAGACAAAACCACCTTTGGGTCTTGTTAATTTCACTGAGTATAACTATATATTTGTATATATATACATATATATATGTATATCTATATATATATATCTACCTGTACCCAACTGGCAACTGTATCAGAGTGCTAGATTTGGGACATGCTTTTCTCTTTAAATACATAATATCATTATATAAATTATTCTAGAGTGTATTTAATTAGGATAAAATTACTTCCTTAGTATGGATATTTGACATCTATTGGGTGAGTTTGTTCATAAATACAGACATGAAAAACTGTTACCATTTATGCAGCTCTGTTGCTCAGCTTCCCATCACACCTTCTGAGCGGAAACGTAATTTGACAGGCCTTGCTCCCAAAGCAACAAGCTCGTTTAGTGAGAAACCCTTTTTTCCCTTACCGAAGAACTCTGTAATTGGCACCTGACTAAATGGTACATTTAACTCCTAGTACAGACAATATGTAGAATATTCATGGAGGACTGATAGCACTCTAGGCCCTTCCCCTCATCTTAGTGATGAGCTTTATGGACATATACATTGGGCTATACTGCAAATTCAACAAGGGGTGATGTTCTAATATGACCACAACCAGTTCTGTGAACTGAGTGGAGGATGCTTGTTTTAAAATCATTTAATAGTGAGCTACATTAACTCTGACCTTTTTCCCCCAAGAGTCATTGGCATTGTTCAAGTTGTACACCAAATATCTAACTGAGGATGTAATTAGCCTTCTTAAATATTGATTAGAATTGTTCTGTGATATTACTGGATTTGTAAGATCTTTAGCAAAGATTTTTGAGCAATTTATAAATATAGAGCAAATGTTTCTGTTTACTGCACTTTTTGTAACTGAAGGTGATAACGTCTCAAGTCACGATTAGTGGATCCCGTGCAACACAATACATACTCAGCCACCACTCTGAACGTTTTCCATTTTTCTTACTGTCCCCTTGATTATAAAAGCAATCAGGGGGTTAATGAAAGCTAATGATAACAGTTGACCTTTTAAAATGAATTTGATACAATTTAGAGAGAAATCTCTTTTAATGCAATCATGCCATTCCTTAACTGTCTAGCTTGAAGAGAGATTGAAACATTTTGTTTGTTCGTTTGATTGATTGGTTGGTTGGTTGATTGATTGGTTTTTGCACAGTTTTGTATCCCAAGCTTCCCCAGGGCAGTGAATTTATCTCTTTGCACTTGCACATGGCCAGCACATGTCAGCATTTCATTACTGTTTAAAATGACAAGTGTGCCCACAATTAAAACACTCCCCAGCGCTGGGGTGTTTAACTGAAAAAGCACGCGAAGTCTTACAGTTAACAATTCTCTAACCAAGTATAAGAGCCACGTTGTCCTTCTGGAGGGCATGAAATGTTGAGTCTAATTGTGTGTGGGCCCGCAGGATCCAGCACATAAATGTCACACAACTCCACAAGTAACAAGCCTGGCCTGCTGTAAGTGTTCGTGAAAGTTTGGAAGCAGCAATGCCGAACCTATAAATATGATGCTGTCTCTTTTGTGCACAGGATGTACAGCTGCTTTTTCTGTCACACTAGAAATGCAAACCATTTATGGGATTCCTAAAAACCAGAGTATGGACCTGAAACTTTGCTAATGATCTTTACTAGAGGCTCATCCCACTTTTCACTGACATTGGGTTTCCTTTCCAATCCTCTCCCTACAGTAGTGGACTGCTTATTCCCAGCTGTTTATTTTATGGAGTCCTGAATTTAAAGAAAAAAAAAATATTTTGATTCATTTTGTAAATACAAGCTGTATAAAAAAAAGAGAGATTTAATGTTGTCTTTTAAATACTCCAATTTTCATTCTAATATGGATGTTGTTATATTGTACTTAGAAACTGTACCTTTAACATTACAGTACCTTTATTAAAAGTGCATTGAACACATCAATTTTAGATGTGCTTTGTGTGCTATTATCCTATAATAAAACTTCAGCTTCTAATGGAACATTTGTCTCGCATTTCTTCCTTATTGAGTGACACTGTATACTTTTCTAATTATATCTTCCCTCTTGTCAGTGGTCTCCTAGTGAACCTTGATAATCAGTAAGGGCCACAGACCAGTAACAGTGGTAGCACATGGACTGTTAGAGATGGCTCAGTGAGTAAGAGCTGCTCTAGAAGAGGATCTGTGCCCAGTTCCCAGCACCCATATAGTAACTTACAGCTGTCTATAACTCCAGTTTCAGGGTATCCCTTTTCTGGTCCCCATGGACACCAAACATGCATGTGGTGTGCATGTATTCAGGAAGATAAACATAAAATAAAAATAGATACGTTGTAAAAATAATAATAATAATATGAGTCCCAAACTCCACTCAAGACCTAGTAAATCAGAGTCTGCATTTTCACAAGCTCCAGGTGGTTGGTGTTATTACAAGTCTCAGAAGCACCGATAATGAGGTCATTGAAAGAACAATGCATTCACTTCCATTCTACAAAGAAAAAAAAGTATGATGCAAGTTACCCTCTTAGCCCGAGGGAACATGTCTTACTCACCTTTCTTCTCCTGTGAAGGGGCACCATGACCAAGGCAACTCTTACAGGAGAAAGCACTTACCTGGGGGCTTTCTCACCATTTCAGAGGGCTTCGTCATTATCATATGCAGACAGGCACAGCACTGGAGCAGTAGCTAAGAGCTTCATATCCTGAGCTGCACGCCGCAGGGCAGAGAAAGACAACAGGCCTGCCACAGGCTTTTGAAACTGCAAACCTCCCTCCCCAGCAACCAACCTCCTACAGCAAGGACATATCTACCCCAACAAGGCCACGCCTCCTAATCCTTCCCATACAGTTCATCAACTGGGCACTGAGCAGGCAAATATATAAGCCTATGGCAGCCATTCTCACACAAACCACCACAGCACATGAAGTACTAACTTACAGATAATGGCTGGGGAGTAGTAGTCGATGTTGGAAAGGGCCACTAATGAGAGTGAACCTAAGTGTTAGAGGAGAAGCCCTGACTGTGCATCGGACTTTCATCTTTGCTTCAGAACCCATGGAGACAGAATGGCTGACAAGAGGCCAAAGATTTCAAGCCTGACTTGGCCTGCACTGCCACTGCCCCACCCCCAGGCTTCCCTTGATTTGTATCACATTTTAATAGCACAACAAAGTTGCTGTGAATTAATTTTAAAATAATATCAAGAACTTTTAGGGAGGGTGTGTGTGTGTCTGTTTCTCAGGAGTTGTCCACCTTCTTTTACTGAGACAAGATCTCTCACTGGGACCTGGGCCTCATGAAGTAGACAAGGCTGACTGGCCAGAGAACCCCAGGGATCCTCTGTCCCTGCCTCCCCAGCAATGGAATAACAAATACATGCCACCGTATCTGGAATCTTATATTGATATTAGGCCTGAACTCAGTCCGTTATGCTGAAACAGCAAGAACTTTACTGACGATATCTCCCTCGGTCCCTTTCTAAGATTGTTTGTTTGTTTGTTTGTTTGTTTGTTGACATATGTCCCAGAGCAGACTTGGGCTCACTGCAGTCCTCTGGTTCCAGCTGTAACTCCACATATGCATTGCCACATCTGACCATATTTTAAAATATTCTCAAGTCAGAATAAAGTGTCTAGGTGTTTTTCTCTACACACGCGCTACCCTATCTAAGCATCTTTTATAAGCAAAGGATATTCCATAAATATCTGAATTGGTCTGAAATTTTACTTCATATAAGGAAGTCATTCCCCATCTTTTTCTCCCCAAGTACATAAAAGGAGGGGGAAAGGTCAAGCACATGATCTGTCATGAAACACCGCCCCGTACAATTACAGTTGTTTGTTTCTGGTGTCTCAGGAAATTGAGAGATAATGAAAAAGTTCAGATTCTGTAATCTGTCACCTCGAGGCCTCATCTGAATCCAAACCTAAATTCATTCTGCTTAAAACAATAATTCCAGCCACTTCCACCTCTTTGACACACTAGTTCAGTGTCCACGAGAGCACGTAATAGGAATATAAAGAGAATTTCTTAGACGTCTCGTCACAGTGATCACAGAGGAAAGTCAGAAAGGAGAGCAAATGTTTTAGTTTCTGGTTGGAATTACCAAGCTCTTTCTCAAAATGACAAAATGAAGCTGAGTGGCCTCACAATGTTGAGATCTAATGTGCATACAGACCAAGTTCATAGGGACCAAGCTCAGTTTCTCCTGACAGAACTGTGAAAATACCAGGCTGAGTCCATGGTGCCCCTGTTGTGCTGGGTACAGTTTAGTAGCTTGAGACCTTCTTTTAAACACAAGAATGGAGATGTGGTCCAGTGTTCAATGCCACAATCCAAAGAAGGCTGTTAAGGTCACATGAGCCACCAGTATAACAATAAGAATGGAGAGGATGACTAATGGGTCCCCAAATATAGCTAGATGAGAAGATAAAGTTGTGAAGTGCTAATGAGGAAGAGCTAAGGGAATAAGAGGATGTTGCCCATTCCCAACACAAATAAGCAAGCTTTACCATGATGGAGATGCTTACTGGTTGGACTTGATGCTAACACACCTCTCTCCAAATGTTACACACCTTCCACAAACTTGAAAGGTTATTTTGTACCCACTACAACTGTAAGAGGAAGGTGTTTTGCTAAGAGATTTCTCCTAAACTGCAGAAGGATCACCCCAAAGGCCCCCTGCCAGCCACCCACTCACACACTCCTATTCCCCAATCCCCCCACCCCAGAGGTGCAGAGGACTCAGAGATTTGCTCCAGCTGTGGGCTGAGGAGACTTTCGCTTTTTTCTGGTGTCAACGATTTTTGATGTTAGAAACAGTTAAATTGTTGTCTCCTGATTTTCTTTTTCTTTCCTTGGAAGGTGAAACTACTGATTCCAATAAAACACAGTCACCTCTCAGGAACCAGGTGCTGCTGTCCACTTGAGGACGTCTGGGACAATGCTTCTAACCCTAAGATGACTCCCTTTGGAGAGGAGAAGTTGCTTTATCAATTATTTTTCACTTAGAAGACAAAATTATCTTTACTACTGGTCTCATGCCAAATTAATTAAATTCTCTACTTGAAATTATCTGTTGCAATTATCTTCTCCCTGAGATATTTAGGTACACCTGGAAGAGATCAACATTCCAACTAGCAGTTATCTATCTCTTTTAGTTAGCTCAGGGCCCATGTAATGCAGACTATAGTGAAACATGCCAGAGAAAACATTAACCACTAAGTAGAAAAACATCACCTATTATTGAAAAAGCCAGATTTACGCAAACTGCTATTAGCAGTATTTCCTCATGTTTCTAAACCAAACATCTCTGCTCTAGGGATATTTCTGGATTCCCACATCCAATGTACCTATGGATAACTAGTGATTCACGAGGCAATTCATTGAGTGAAGTGTTTATCAAACTATAAATTCCCAAGGCCAAGTTCACTCCACATTGTTGTATTAGGCCATTAATATTTACTATTGATATATCTTTTAGTAAAGCTGTGGTTAATCCTAAACAGCTGTATAACCAAATCACCACACAAAGACTAGGATTTATTTAGTTAACCTAGAGCACAATGCCGGGCAATAGTTACTCCATCCTACACCTCCAAGCCCGCATAGTTTCCTACCATTCAGATTCACCCATTATACTTGCTTTTAGTGATCTCTTAGGTTCATTTCTCCACGTTGTTCCAAGACCTCCTGCTCCTCTCCCAGCTTCTACATTTCTCCCTCCTACTCCTTCCTCTCCCCCTGCTTCCTTCCTCTTCTCCTACTCTGAACCAGGATGTCCCACCCTATCCTCTCCATTGCTCAACATTGTGGCTGGTTGTTTTAATTGACAATTTAGAGAACAAATGGTGGCATGTTTATACAAACTTGAGACAGGTGATGTTTAGAATAAGTATCATAATGTAATGCCCGGATTGAAACCAGATATTGGGGGAGAGAAATCAGCATTTGAATGAACAAAGGTAAGGTGTATACACTCCAAAAGACCATTATATCAACACCACATCAACAAAGGAAGCTCATTAGCTGAGGGTTATGAAAGTGCCTGAGAACTGATGAGGTCGAAGAGAAAGAATTTTGTATGTTTCTGTCTCTATTTGGTCTGCAAGAAGAAATACGCACCTAGTAACAACTGCCATTAAAACTGGCCCAATGAAACATTGCACAAACTGAAAACACATACAGACTTTTGTCAATTATTCCAAGCTAACTCAACCTAGGAGTCTGCCTCTAAGTTTTGCAGAAATAGAAAACCAAAGCTTTCTTTGCTTAAAAACCCAGAGAAAACAATGGTACAAGTAACTTGGGAAACGCTCTGGAGAATCCTTAGAGAGTTACTCAGGTAATTTCCTATACTAGTAGGCAACTCCATGCCTATGTTTCTACTCAGGCAAAGCCAAAACACAGAGGTCACAAGGCCCATCACAACGTTCTTCGAAACACTATTCATAATCTCCCCAAAGAGGAAACCACCTCTAAATAGTCATCAAATGTTGAAAAAGCACATTTGGATATGTCTATAAATGAACTACTATGCACCAACAAAAAGGAATGGACTACTAACACATACGGCAGCATGGACAAAGCCCAAACCCTAGCGAAGAGCATACACACAGAAGGTCTCGTCTTATATCATTCTGTTCTTGTGAAATATCCAGGCAGAGCAAACACACCAAGATTAAGTTCATGGTTGACATGGGGCTGAGGATAGAAAGGATTGACTGCTATTGGATACGAAAATAGACAGTCAGGATTAACGAGACTGTCCTAAAATGAGGTAGTGTTGGTAGCTGCAAAGTCCTATCAATTCACTAAAAGTTACTTAGTGAGACAGTTAAAATGATGGAATTACGATACTTAGAATGAGTGGTTACAGAGTTGTTCACCATAACCCAGAGAAAAAAGTCCAACTCTCTGGCATCTTAAAGACAATCCATGCTCCAATCTCCTGTCCACTTCAGAGGTCTTCTCCCTCTCCCACTCCATAAGGCAACCACTT